CATCTATCTATCTATCTATCTATCTATCTATTATCTATCTATCTATCTATCTATCTATCTATCATCATCTATCTATCTATCTTTTATGTACTGAACATTGTATTTTTAGTCTATGCACATCTTCCACAAATATCCATTTGATTTCTTTCTAAGTAAATTTGTCTGGGTCTTCAACTTTCACTGAAAAGATTCTAGATGTACTAAATGTTCCATGCTATATCCCAGTGTTGGTGAACCTTTTCAGCATCAAGTGCTGAAACGGGAGCACACACACATGGGAGTGCCAGAAACAGAAGAGCAGTGCCAGCGAGCTGCTCTTCTGGTTTCCCGCATTCCCGCATGTGCAAAGACCAGCTGGCATGCGCACACCAGAACCTGGAAGAGCAACGGGAGATGGCTAACGTCCCCGGAGAGATGGCTCTGCTTGCTACTACCAGCATGCATGCCATAGGTTCACCATCATGGTTATATCCCATCTTTTTTCCTGAGACTTCAAGGAAGCATACAGGCAGATCTCTCCTAATTTTATCACATAACAACCACCCTATTAAAATAGTAAGTTAGGCTGAAAGACAATGATGGCCTAAAGTTGCGCACTAAGTTTGATAAATGAATAGACTTTGGATCTCCTGATCTAATATCACTATACCAGACAGGCTCTCAGGTCAAAAGCATCTTTTACCACCAGCTCAAACCCTAAGTTACTGAGCCAGCTAAGAACTCAAATTTAATGTTCAATGAAGCATTCCTATTGTTGCACAAATTCTTCAATATTGACATTTCCCATATTTCTTCCATTCAGTCTTTTCAACCCACTGATTTTAATTGCATGCTATATGCAAACTGGATATCCTTTGCATTCAACATTTCATAAATCTGGTCAAAAAAAGAGAAATCATTGTATAAAATCATCTAAATATACTACTTTTATATATATATAAATAATACTTTCAAATATAAAAAGTGTGCTGTTTTTTTTTTCTAAAAGAAAATAAGTACCACATTTTAAGTCAAAATAAAGTAATATACATACCATTTCTCTCCTGCCTTCATCTTTTTCTTGAAGTTTCAGGTCAGCAGACACCTGAAATAGTAGAATATTATACTTATTAAGTCAATTTATTTTGGGGTAGGATATCAGCCATGCAAAGTACTTACCCAATTCCTATAATACAGTATAGGTCTTTTGAAACTAATGTTGCTGCTTATTTAAAATACAGAGCTATTATTATATAGAAGCCAGGAAATAAATCCTTAAGAGGTGAAATATTATCAATAGTTTCAATTAGTTTCAATATTTGTTAGAGTATTGTGAGAAGCTTGCAGGTTGTCAGATCTGCCATTGCACCACTTCAGCCCTGCTTTGCTTCAATGGCATCCTGCCATAAAAGGAAAGTAGTAAGAGGATATAGGGAGGGGGAATGACCGGATGACAGGAACTGAAGATGCCAGCCCAGAACATATCTGGCTTTGCTTATACTGTAACACCTCTTGGCTTTATTAAAACTATACATTTCTCTACAAATGGAGTTGATGGTCTTTCTTTCTTAAATGCCCAAGCTGGCCTGACCCAGGTATTCATGAAGGGAAAAAAATCCACCTTTAACTGAACCATTTCTTCAAGAAACTACTTGGAAACATTTGATCTGAAAATTATACTTTTATTATAATAATTCTGCTTAGAAAAATAATATTTTCCAAAGTTGTGAATGCATTTATGTATTCCACCCACCCCCCAAAATATGTGATCTATGAACAACAGCTTGGCTTATTTCACAAGTGAATATTGTCCCGATGTATGGCTTAACAGCACCCAATCGTTGCTGTCCAAATCTGCCAAACAATGTTTATCATCATTGCATTTCACTCCTGTGCACTGGTTACCAATACTTAGCAATATCATACCACCCCACATTAGAAGACAATAAGCTCCCAATCAGCTATGGTCAAGGATACTGAAAAACAAGGCCCTCCCTATTCACCAGGACAATACATAGGCTCATCATGAGGCTGAAATCCTGCAGGCCAGCTATTCACTTAACATCAACCCAGTTTAACCAAAACAGAATGCCAAGAGAAAGAAATGATCCAAGGTACCTTCTTGTATGGCCTGACCATTAGTGATCCCTCTACCAAACTATCTGGTTTTGACCTGACTTGTTTTGTTTGGTCGAAATTGTACAGAATTAGGTATGATACTGAAAGAAGTGCCTGGAAAGATTCCCCTTGTTATGATTGTGGTGCTGATATGCAAACTATTAAACACATTTTGCAAGATTGCCCACAACATGTGTTGTCTGATTCCCTGGAGGACTTGCATGGAGCAATGCCAGAGATTATTGCATGCCGGAAACTGGAGGTTCAGCACATGCGTGCCTGGGAGCTGCTCTTCCGGTTTCTGGTGCTCCCACACGTGCACGCTCCCATTTCAGCACTTGATGTCGAAAAGGTTAGCCAACACTGGTACAGTATATAGCTTACTATTTTCTCTCTTTCGCCCTTCCCCCCTCCTTCTCTTCCCCCACTCTTTCTTTCTTTGGAAATTTACCCAATTGATGGGCAAAAGATACAATCTGTCCATTTAATGCAAGATTTTCCTTTTTGTGAATTGGGACAGGAATTATACTGTCCACAATTCCTCTTAATACTTTTCATGAATGCACTTTATTTCTTTTCATGTTCTTTGATGTACAATCATTACTGCTTAACCCAGGAAGAAGCTAATTCAGAAAAAGGAGAGCTGTATGTTATATAGATGTGGTTGCTATTATTAATAATCATACCATCATAGCTTCCTGAACAGTAAGATGTGGAAGCAGCATGTCATCTTGCATAATGTAACAAGATACTTTGCGGAAAGAACGCAAATCACGATGTTGCCCATTGATAAGAATTTCTCCTTTCATCCCAGTCTCCCTGAAAGTAAGAGAAAAAACAATCTATTTTTTTTCATGCCTTTAGATCAGATTACCTGCACATTCAAGTTTTTCACAGTACAGGAGTCAGTTCTTTTTTATCATATGCAAGTAAGTATGAAGTGTGAAATAATTATTATCAGAATCTGAGTTTACAGTTTAAGGAGAATTGTGGAAAACCTCTCCATTCACAAATTGTGTTTATCAAGTTTGTACATATGCAACTATCATATGCAAACTCTCCTAATAGCATACAGTGTTGGATTCACATCTCTGAAGTTCCTGAAAGACTAGTACATTTAGGCTGAAAATATCTTCATAATTAAAAGTTANACTTAGTGACCATTACAAGATACAACGGCATTGAAAAAAGTGACTTATGACCAATTTTCACATTTCTAACAGTTGCAGCATCCCCATGGTTATGTGATTTACATTTGGATGCTTGACAACTGACTCACCTGTATGATAGTTGCAGTGCCCCAGAGTTAAGTGATCACCTTTTGCAACCTTCTGACAAGCAAAGTCAATGGGGAATCCAGATTCACTTAACAACTGTTAAAATAATCCTGAACCACCTTCTGTTTCAAAAGGCCTAACTGACCTACATTCAGCATTTCAGATCAGTTTAGATAATAGCATAATATATAGACCTACATAATATATAAATTTGTATGTATTTTAGGTAATGATTCTTAAACTGCCTTTAAAATGAATACTGCATAGTCCATGCAGTTTTTAAAATTCTCTTTCACATTCCATACATATTTTTCTTTTAAGGTCTAGAAACTTAAATACTAAAGAGAATAAGCAGAGGAAAGTACTGTTTTAAAGTATTTAAATACTTAAGCCTTAAAGTATTTTAATAACATAAATAATATGTTTTATTCTACAAAAAAGAATATGTATGCAGCATTATAGACCCAATCTAAGACTTTGACTGTGATAAGAAACTTAGACTTAAAGGAGCCTTAAGTCTTAAGGCCATATTCATATTGCTAAGTTGCCCTATTGCAAATACAAGCTACCAACCATTTCTGCAAAACTGGACAATGAACACTGTCATCCATTACTTGTCCTCAGTCCAATGTGAATGTCCTTGTGCTTAACATTAAGTTGAAAGTACATAATACTTTACAGCAGGGGTCCCCAACCCCCAGACCCCAGACTGGTATCAATCCACAGCCTTTTAGGAAACCAAAGCATAGCATAGCAGTGGGTGAGAAAATTGCGCATGCATGGAATGTAGATTGTGCGCTCTTCCCACTGCTCTGTGGGAAAAAATTGTCTTACAGGAAACTGGTCCTTGATGCCAAAAAGGTTGGGGACAGCTGCCTTACAGCTTATGCCAGCATAAGATTTGCTATCTAGTTACCCTATGCATTTTACTTTCTTTTAGACAAAACCTTACATTTTGATTGGCTACACCCTCTCATATGGGTTATTACTTACCCACCACCACCACTACTGAAAGACCCCCTATAACAAAAGCTGTAGCAGACTTGAGTCAAACCCAGCAAAAGCTTGAGTCAAACCTAGGATAATGCAAAAAAAGTATTTTGATGTTCAATGTTATAGTGGCTGCTTGTACATACAAGCTATACAATACAATACATGCACATATAATACATGCATATGTACATACTTATATACAATACATATAAGATACATAATACATATACAATGAATACATATATAATTTTGAACGTATTATTTAAACTCTGTGTACACATATTATGTACACATAATATACCAACCCGTTTAATATTTCAACCCGTTTAAGGACTGCTGCTAGAAAAGAAATGAATTGGCCATTGGGAGAGCACAGACGGAGGCAAGAATAAACACTTGCAGGATGCTATTGAAACATCCCAATCTGAACAAAATTTTGGATTGGATAGCTCCCAGGATCACAAAAGGCAAGATTTGTCATAGATGGAACTGCCCTTCCTTGAGGCATTAGGAAGAAAGCTGGGGTGCTTATTGAGCCTTACTGACAATAGAAATCCAAGTAGCCAAAGATTATCTTTGAATGGTAAGATAGCTACTGCTATTTCCAGGCACACATATTTTTAACACTTGTGCTGATTCTTTAGAAGCCTCAATAAAACAAAGCACTGTATGTGAAACTTATTCAATATATATCCATAAAGATACACAGGTAGATACAAACATAGTCGGGGCCCAGAGGTTTATTAGATTTTGTACTGGGATTTGATTTCTGTAAGCCACTTTGAGTCCCCATGAGTGAGTTGGATAACCATACAACTTTAATATATAAATAAATAGTCATCTTTAAACGAAATTCACTGAAATAATGAGATTAAAAATTTGCTTGTGTTTATTTTAATAGAGCCACAATGATCAAGTCTGGAGACGTTCAGCCTGAATTTATCTAGATCTGTAAATTTACGTAAGTTGTTCCAGGGTGTATTTTGTTCATAACACAAGGATTTCTCTTTTCTTCCCAAAGTAGGTAACTAGATTCAATTCATCAGACAATGGGAAGCATCACCCAGCTCCGTGATGACGAACCTAAGGCATACATGGCATGCAGAGTCATATTTGCCAGCATACAAGCCATCAGCTCCAGTGCACATGCATGTATATGCATGATTTTCGGCCTTCCAGAGGGCCAGGTGAGGCTGTTTTTGCCCTCCCCGGGCTTTGGGAAAGCCTCTAGAGCCCAGGGAGGGTGATAAACGAGCCTAACAGGCCAACCAGAAGTTTGGAACTGATCCATTTCTGGCTTCCAGAGGGCTTCCAGAGGGCT